CCAGGGGACTGTCAGGGGTTGGGGACAGCCAGGGCACAGCAGTGACACTGCTGAGGAGAGCGAGGGATGTCCCGGTGGTTCTTGATGAGTTCCCCCAGCTCGAAGTTCCCGGCGATGACGGCCACCTGCGGGGACAGCGGGGACAGAGAGGGGACAGCGGGGACAGAGAGGGGACAGCGGGGACAGCCAGGGGACATTGGGGACAGCGGGGACAGCTGGGGACAGCAGGGGACAGCCAGGGGACAGCTGGGGACATTGGGGACAGCAGGGGACAGCTGGGGACATTGGGGACAGCAGGGGACAGTCAGGGGACATTGGGGACAGTGGGGACACTGGGGACAGCTGGGACAGCAGGGGACATTGGGGACAGCGGGGACAGCAGGGACAGTAGGGGACAGCCAGGGGACACCAGGGGACTGTCAGGGGTTGGGGACAGCCAGGGCACAGCAGTGACACTGCTGGGGAGAGCGAGGGACACCGGGGTTGGGGACAGCAGGGGACACTGGGGACACTGGGGGCAGCAGTGACACTGCTGGGGACACATGGGGACACCAAGGTTGGGGACAGCAGGGACAGCAGGGGGCATTGGGGACAGCAGGGGACAGTAGAGGCCACTGGGGACACTGGGGACATTGGGGACACTGGGGACAGCAGTGACACTGCTGGGGACACGTGGGGACACCAGGGTTGGGGACAGCAGGGGACAGCAGGGGGCATTGGGGACAGCAGGGGACAGTAGAGGCCACTGGGGACACTGGGGACATTGGGGACACTGGGGACAGCAGTGACACTGCTGGGGACACGTGGGGACACCAGGGTTGGGGACAGCAGGGACAGCAGGGGGCATTGCGGACAGCAGGGGACAGTAGAGGCCACTGGGGACACTGGGGACATTGGGGACAGCGGTGGCACTGACCTGGCCCCACGAAGGGCACCGGGGGTGTCCCCAAGGGGGGGACGGTGGCAGCGGCGGCAGCGCGAGCCTCGAGGGACTGCTGGACCTGGGGACAGAGGGGACACAGGGGACATTGGGGACATTGAGGGGACACTGAGGGCATTGGAGACACTCAGGGGACACAGGGGACAGAGGGGACATTGAGGGGACACTGAGGGCATTGGAGACACTCAGGGGACACAGGGGACAGAGGGGACATTGGGGACACTAAGGGACACAGGGGACATTGGGGACATTGAGGGACACTGGGGACACTGAGGGGTATTGGGGACACTCAAGGGACAGTGGTGACAGTGAGGGACACTGAGGGACAGAGGAGACACTGAGGGGACATTGGGGACACTGAGGGGACATTGAGAGACAGTGGGGAGACAGAGGGGCATTGGGGACATTGGGGACATCGGGGACAGTGAGGGGCATTGGGGACACTGAGGGCATTGGAGACACTTAGGGGACACAGGGGACACTGGGGACACTGAGGGGACACTGGGGACATTGAGGACAGCCAGGGGACATTGGGGACACTGGGGACACTGGGGACACTGAGGGGCATTGGGGACATTGAGAGGACCTTGGGGGTTTGGTGGCAATGGGGACATTGGGAGGATTTGGGACAGCGAGGGGACGTTGGGGACAATGGGAGGACACTGGGGGCTTGGGGACGATGTGGGCATTTGAGGACATTGAGGGGCTTGGGGACATTGGGGACACTGGGGACATTGAGGGGACAGTGATGGTGAGAGGGGACACGGGGACATTGGGGACATTGGGAGGATTTGGGGACATCTGGGGACACTCGGGTGGCATTTGGGGACACAGGTGACACACCTGCTGGTAGGTGTTGGTGGCAGTGACGGGGTTGGGGACATTGGGGTGACATTTGGGGACATTTGGGGACATTTGGGGACGTTTGGGGACGTTTGGGGACATTTGGGGACATTTGGGGACACACCTGCTGGCAGGTGTTGGTGGCAGTGACGGGGTTGGGGACGCTGGGGTGAGATTTGGGGACATTTGGGGACATTTGGGGACGTTTGGGGACGTTTGGGGACACACCTGCTGGTAGGTGTTGGTGGCGATGATCGGGCGCAGCACGGGGGGCGGGGCCAGGGGATCCCCGGGGGCGGGGCCTGGAGCGCCCAGCACCTCCTGCTCGAACCTGCGCCAGTACAAACCAGTATGGACCAGTATGGACCGGTATGGACCAGTACGGACCAGTATGGACCAGTACGGACCAGTATGGACCAGTATGGACCAGTATGAACCAGTACGGACCAGTACGGACCAGTATGGACCAGTATGGACCAGTATGAACCAGTACGGACCAGTACGGACCAGTATGGACCAGTATGGACCAGTATGAACCAGTACGGACCAGTACGGACCAGTATGGACCAGTATGGACCAGTATGAACCAGTACGGACCAGTACGGACCAGTATGGACCAGTATGGACCAGTATGAACCAGTACGGACCAGTACGGACCAGTATGGACCAGTATGGACCAGTATGAACCAGTACGGACCAGTACGGACCAGTATGGACCAGTATGGACCAGTATGAACCAGTACGGACCAGTACGGACCAGTATGGACCAGTATGGACCAGTATGAACCAGTACGGACCAGTACGGACCAGTATGGACCAGTATGGACCAGTATGAACCAGTACGGACCAGTACGGACCAGTATGGACCAGTATGGACCAGTATGAACCAGTACGGACCAGTACGGACCAGTATGGACCAGTATGGACCAGTATGAACCAGTACGGACCAGTACGGACCAGTATGGACCAGTATGGACCAGTATGAACCAGTACGGACCAGTACGGACCAGTATGGACCAGTATGGACCAGTATGAACCAGTACGGACCAGTACGGACCAGTATGGACCAGTACGGACCAGTACAAACCAGTACGGACCAATATAAACCAGTACGGACTGGTACGGACCACCACAGACCAGTACAAACCAGTATAGACCAGTACGGGCCAGTATAACCCAGTATAAACCTCCCAGTGCTCCCAGTAACCCCCCCAGACCCTCCCAGTAACCCCAAGCCCCGCCCCCGTTACCACGGCAACGCCAGACCCCGCCTTTCCCCTTCTAAGCCCCGCCCTTGTTACCACGGCAACGCCGGACCCCGCCCCTGTTGCCATGGCAGCACTCAGACCACTCCCCCTCAAGCCCCGCCCCGGTTGCCACGGCACCCGCCAAGCCCCGCCCCTTCCCGCCCGCCATGACACCCGCTCCGCTCCGTTCTCCTCACAGCGCCATCTCCGCCTCCATCTCCTTCAGCCGCTCCTCGCCGCTCTTCACCGCGGCCCCGCCGCCTCCCGCCACCGCACCGGGCCCCGCCGCCACCACGGAGGCGCCGGGCCCGGCTCCCGCCGCCATTCCCGGCCCCGCCGCTCCGGGAGCCGCCGCCGCCGCCATGGCTGGAACTGCCGCAACCACTTCCGCCCGCCTGAGAGGCACTTCCGGCGCGGCGAAGTGACGTCACTCAGCGCGACACACCCCCTTTTAATAAACAAACGCGGATTTGGGGCGAAATCAGCGAAAAACGGACAAAAATGGCTGCGAAACGGCAAAAAGCGCTTTAATGGCGGTAGTGGAAGGCGGAAGCCTAGCGGGAGGCCGCGCTCAGCGCTTGAGCTCGCTGTAGAGATCCGCGCGTGCGCCCTGCAGCTCCTGGTAGTGCGAGTCCTGCTCCGGGGGGCGGGGCTTGGGCGGTGCTGTGAGGGGAGGGGGCGTGGTCATGGCGGGGACACGCCCACTTTGGTTCCGGCCACGCCCACCTCGTGGCTGCGGTGGGTGTGGTTCTTGTCTGGCCACGCCCCATTTTTCGTTCTGGCTCCGCCCTTTAATTGGTTTGGCCACGCCCAGGCCTCACCCCAGTTACCCACACATGGCTCCTCCCCTTTGGCCACGCCCACAAAAGACCCCTCCCTCTTTAGCCACACCCCAAAATAGTTCTGTATTTAGCCACGCCCCCAAATGATCCCTCCTTTGGCCACGCCCACATCCAGACCCTTCCCACCTGACCACGCCCACAAAGTTCCTCTCCCCTTTGGCCACGCCCCCAAATTATCTGTAATTTTGGCCACGCCCCCATGCAGACCCTTCCCACCTGACCACGCCCACAAATGGCCCACCCCTCTTTAGCCACACCCTCAAATGGCCTCTCCCTGTTGACCACGCCCACAATCAGCCCCTCCCTCTTTAGCCATGCCCCTCAACTGTCCCTCCTTTTGGCCACACCCACAAAGAGTCCCTTCCTACTTGACCACGCCCACAAATGTATTCTCCCAGTTGGCCACGCCCACAAAACTTCCCGTCCGTTTGGCCACGCCCACAAATGCACCCACATTTAAAGCCCCGCCCACAAACAGCTCTTCCCTCTTTGGCCACGCCCACAAACAGTCACTACCCCTTAACCCCGCCCAGAAATGGCCCCTCCCCTTTGGCCACGCCCACCTCGGCGGCCCCGCCCCGCCAGCCAATAGGCTCCGCCCGCGATCAGCAGCGTCATGATGACGTCAGCGACCACAAGCGCCGCGATTGGTCCCGGCCCCGGGAGGCACCCGGAACATTCTGGAAAAGGGGGGGGGAGGGGCGGGGGTGACACCTCGTGACCCCCCCGTGACCTTTGACCCCCCCGCGACCCCGGGGTGGGGGAGGGGCCTCACCTGGCTCGGCTGCGGCCAATCCTGGGGCGGGAAATGAACCGGGGGGGCGGGGCTTGTGAGCCACTCCCACTTCGGGTTGG